TTTAAAATCTATTTAAATGCTTAAGGGACGGAAACTGGATTGATTTAGCAAGTTTGTGAATAAATGAGCTTAAACCTTAAGCCTCAGTAGAACCTGGACGCAACCGTGTTTAAGAACAGATGAAGCGTCTAACAAAGCCCTGATGTCAGCCTCCCTGAAAATGATTAATAAACTGGGTCCATGTCAGGAAACCAACCAGTTTCTGTTTCTCTGATTAGTTCTGTAAAGAGCAGACGTCCAGTTTTCTGAAACATTCATTTAGAAGCTTGAGTACCGCTGCCAAACACCTGCTAAAGGACATGAAACAAAACATTATTAAGGTGTTTGTTACCATTGTTTTATTATTAACATGTTTGGATGAGAGAAATCAAAAATCAGATCAAACTTATCTCCAAATCCTCATATTTAAAACTTACTTTTGAGAAACTTCTCAACCAGAATTGTCGCCAAACCATTTTTACCGTGTAGGACCATCTCTGTAGAGCCTTTGAAGTGACTCCAAATCCTTAAATAGTTGCTTAATCAACAAAGAAACATAAACAGATCTCAACATTCAGCCTGCTTAGGCTTTGGTTCTAGGCTTTTTTCCTCTTTCAGTGTTTCTCTAATGCAGACATTCCTCCCAGTTGGTGTTGATCCTTTCTTTCTTTCTTTCCTTGTTTCTCTGCATCATTTCTCAATGGTAGGGTGAACACATGTCCAAACAACTGCTCTGGCCGAGGTGAGTGCAGAGTGGGGAACTCCACTGCTTTGGTTTACTGTGAGTGTGAAGCCAACTGGAAGGGGGAAGCCTGTGACATCCCATACTGCCTGGATGACTGCGGCTATCCTGAAAGAGGTCACTGCCAGGAAAAGAGCTGCATCTGTAAAGCAGGATGGCAAGGTAGGCCTCGCATGCTTTCTGATTGGAGCTTTCTTCCCTAACCAGTCTGCTCAAATTACTTAAAGCAGGTTCGGTTGTTAGAGCTGAAATCAGTGGTTCTTTATCAGAACAGTTGGTTGTAAACTTTATTAGGGAGAATTATTGATATGACATGTTCTCTGAAACACAGTTTGCCTTCTTGGTGTTTGCTATTCTCTTTCATTCCGTGCTGGGGCTGCTTTAGTGGGGGAAAAAAAGTAAAGATGAGACTGAACAGCTCTGATGAAGTCCCTCTGTTTCATGCAGAGCTGTTAAGTCGCAGTAAAAACCGACCAGATTTTAGTAATGAAACACTGAAAACCTTTATCACAAGCTTTAATCTGCCAGCTCCGTATGAAAAAGTGTTTGACCTTTTAGACTCAAAGTCACGTTTCCAGGAAGTGCTGCAGCAGGGACCATGGGAAGGAAGCATGTTAAGAAAGCGCAATTTTAGGAGGCAAACCGTTGGTTCTACTGCCACATGGCGAGAAGGTCGGGGTTTATTTAAAGACATCTACAAACAATTGGGAAATTATATGAAAGCTAAAACAAAAGGCTGAACAGTTTAATCTGAAAAGGTTAATTACTAAGAGGGTTCAGAACAAATTGAAACATTTATTTTCCCTTTCAAAGGAACAAACTGTTAACAGCTGCTTAATGCTGAGATGTTCCCCCAGAGTTTAGTTGATCTCTGATTTATAAGCTGTAGATGCCCATCCTAACAGATTTAGATTTCTCTGATCGCTGGCCCCTTTCTGCTTATTTAGAATCAAGTCAGAGCTTCAGCATTGTCATTATGAACATCTCATCCAGTTAATGTTTGATCCACCTGCTGTTTTTATGGAGAAATCCCAGAGCATGCAGATGGTTATTTATTCCAGTATCCCTGGAATAAGTAACCAGACTGACCCAAATATCACCACTTTAGTTTAGATGTTCTCTTCAAAGCAGTGTTTCACATGAAAGCTTCCCAGTTTTAATCAGCTGATGTCTGATCTGCAGCAGGAGAACTGGGAACACGTTTCATTGATAGGGTTTTTGAAATAACATAAAACTGCAGATCTGCCTGTAAAATGTTATCCGGCAAATATACTCATGTCATATTAATGTAATATGAAGTGCAAATTATAGAAAAATTATATATTTTTAATGCAAATTGCTGCCAGTGTAAATGAGCTATCATTGTAGAACACTGATTTCAGTTGGAGATCATGCTGTACTGCTCACTTCATCTCATCTACCGAATATTTTTGCAATTGTTTTCATTATTTTAATAGGCAGTTGCTGCTTGATTTCAGGAAAATATTTTAATATGACAATATTGATGAAAATTGTGAAAACAGGATAAAAATTAAACTTTCTGGAAATTCTCTTTTTTTAGGCTTACACGCTTCCCTTAAAGGAATAGTACACCCAAAAAATGATTAGCCTTCATTTTCTACTCACCCCAATGCTGAACAACACTCTGGAGTACTTTTTTGATATCTCAAATGCATCTGGAGATCTGGGAGGTTTCTTGCTGTCTGCTGACATTCAAATAATG